TTCACAAAAGTGTTTATTTTTTTAAATTTGAGTGAATATAATTTGGAAATTTTGTACGGAAAATTGAAAATTCATAATTTAGAGAAAGATTTATTTTATTAAATGTTCAAAATGCCGTCTCTCGATTGACCTGAGTGTGATTTTCACTATCGGCAAAACAATAACAATCCTAGTAGAATCTTTGCCAAAAATCATACAATATTTACGTCGTATTGTAGTGAATAAATGTTGTCGGATAACACCGTAAATACTTAAAAATGTTCGCAGCAATTTTCAATAAAAACTTCATAATTGTATGGAAGTTGGTAGATGGCATTTTGAATATTGTTGTGTAAACAAATGCGTGCAAAAATGAAAATTGCTCAATATGTGACGATAACGATAACAAAATTTCAAAATTTACATCTCAAGTTGTCATTTAACATAAATATCTGCCTGACACAAAAGTTCTGTAGCTTCTTGTACTGTGCGTGTGATTGCTCCGCCTAGGAAAATTTCAATATCGCTTTACTTTTACGACTGAATTTAGGAGCTTAAAGATACACGAAAATTTTGCAGAAAGATTTCTATATGTGTGTATATATATATATATATATATATATATATATATATATATATATATGATTTCTATGTGTGTGTGTATGGTTAGATTCCCCCCCCTCCCCGCTAAAAATATAATAAAACAAAACAGCACACTTATATAAGATCTATATGTACAAGAAATAGTGCATCTCCTTAAATTTAAATTTTTTTATTTAAACAAAATAAAAAATTATTTTAATATAAAACTAAGGTTTAAAAAAAATGTACATTTTCTTGTTCGAAAAATGTTATATATATATATATATTAGTGCAAGTCTATACGTTATATTAGTATCCACAGAATAAGTATTTTTTATTTCTTAAATATTTTTCTCAGTATAAGTAAAAGTGGAAGAGAATAGCACGGAAGCGAATAAAACTACGCACACATGAACAGAACTCCCTCGCGCATGAAAAATCGTCCGTACTAGAGCAAGTATTAACGGCAAGCGGGCGCGCTGCAACGGATTTCCCGGAATTGTAAGGGTTAATCGTCTACTCGGCGGATGGAATCGCGGGGATTTCCGGTCGCGTACGGTGCGACCCGTGCCGACTTTCTTATCCATTCATTCCGCCCTGCAAGAATAACGAGGCTCAGCCTGGAGCACACCGGTAAAAAGTGATTACCCTCCGACAAGCATCATCCGCAGTTATCAATTTCCCCTCTTCCCCTCGCGGATCTCGCGACGCCGTGATCCGGCGGAAGGCAATATCCTTGTAGATTTCTTAATCTCACAGCTTCCCTCCCGCCGTCCCCACCTCCACGCCACCGTGACAGCGGCGCTCCACGACAGTGATAGACCACGCCGAGCTAAATCGAGGAAAACGAGCGTCTCTCAGCGCCAGCTGGACGCTCGATCGGGAACGTGACTGTCGTAATCGCGACTCGCAATTATCAGATCCAATTTGTCGCCGGTCGAAGAAAGAATAGCACGCGCAGTGATCGCGAAAGGGCGCGGACGGAGGGTGCGTTTGAAACGAGAGCGAAGGGCTAGCTTTGCCGTTTCTCCCTGGCATTAACTTCCCTGTAACTAGCGTGGCAATTACTTTGCGTTTGGTCGATTCGCGATTTCGAATGCCTCTATCGTGAGCCGAGGAGGTGGAGAAACGGCAGCCTCTCACCATGTCACTCGTCGTCATCGCCGTCGCCGGTATTTCCACCGCGCGTCCCGTCGAAACGTTTCCTTCGGGTCTCTTTGGGAAATGGAGCAGTTGAAGGAGGAAACAGGGTAAGCAGGAAGGGGGCACTAAACGATTTGCAGAAGCAATTTGTTCGTAGCGCGAAATCATATGGCCGAACCGGTTCCCCATCAAGTGGCTCGCGAGTCGATCGCATCTCGAGGCGATGGAAACGCTTAATAATTTTGCCCGTTGCAGACCATAGCGCAACCGAAGGATACCAGAGAGGAGGCATGTCGTCGGACTGCCTAATCGCGAATGCGGAAGTTCCGTTATGGAAAGGAGCAGCTAGCATCCGTGGCGTGAAGTTCCGCAACAATGCATCCAACTGTGAGTAACACGGGAATGCACAGGCCAGACTGATGGTAGGCACTCTGAGTAGATTGCCATCGCGATGATTCGCGCAAATTCGAGTGAAAAATACAACACACGTGACGTTGATTTTCCAATTAAAAAATTTCACCCCAAGGACGCGCCGAATTTGACATTTTATTGAATTCACCGCCGAAATGCACGCATATTTGTTTTTTATATAGCAATCTCGCGGAATACACGCAAAACGCTGTAATTAATTTTTAATCACAGCAGGACAGCTAAAATCGAAATTTGTGACACAGGCACGCGCCTGAAACGTTTCGCTTGCGTTTTGCTAACCTGTTTTTCGTTATATTTGCACAAATAATAATCGCAAATCAAAGAACACTTTGGATCGATGGAATTTAATTAAAAAAAATTCATTGTACTTTCATTTGTTGCCAGATTTTATATTAAATGTGTCAACTCCCAGTGAAGGGATATAGCAAAAAAAAAACTATAAAATCCCTTTCATCGGGCGGTCCATATTGTAAAGGGAAAAAGAAAATTTGCGCGCCCATTTAACGGGATCTGTATCGCGCTTGGTATTACTGCGAACGGTTGAATTATTAATACCTTTAGCGAAATCGATGATGGGGGCGGCATTTTCGATAGCATTACGTACGAAATATGGGCGTAGCTGGTGAACCGCGGACGCCCGCCGCGGATCAGCTGCGGTTTAGCACGGCCACGTAAAAGGACCCATTTAAATCCACGGCCCTTTCATGGGCACGCAACGGAAAATTCCCAATGTCGCGGCATAGTCCGTGCGGCGTGTATTGACGCATCCCTCGTTATCAAGCGATCAAAGCTACGCGATCCCGAACAAGTGCGCGCCGCGAGTCTCTAGAGAGAGGAGCAGCGCATATAAATATCAAACCATGCACACTACCCTCCGTACTCCTCTAATTAACACCTCAAATTGGCCCCTTCCTTTCCAATTCCGTTTTACCGCCGTTACGGCTTATTTAATTAAGCGATTCGTTTATTACACCTCACCGCTAACGATTGATAATTGGCTAATTAACTGTCTCCCCGTGCAGATTTTTTTAATTAATTTAAAATATGTCACATACCCTTCGCGTTATCTGTGTGTATATATATATATATATATATATATATATATATATATATATATATATATATATATATATATAT